ACACCACGCAGTCTCGGTGGGAAAGCTCGCGCACATAGCTCAGTAACGTATTGAACAATAGCATTCTCTTCGAAATCGGTAAGCCGGCGCGAGTTGGGCATAGTATCGCATCGTGCAGGCTTGCCGGCGCGTCGGCGCGCTAGGGTTCTACGGTTGACCCCATAGATCTTAGCTGCAGCTCGCTCGCTTAGTTTTTCATCGTTTTGGAAAGCTTCGAGGGCTAAGATTAGCCGGGCTTCCTTTAAAGTAGTGGGCATCTCGGATGGTAGGGAAAATGTGTTGTTGAGTGCAAAGGTGTTGCGTGGCCAGGGGGGGTGGGTCATTCGCTTATATGGGTCACTCGCTTATAAGATACGTTACATGAGTGACAGAAGGCCCAGAATGTAGTAAATAGGGGGTTACAGCAATTGATTGCAGTGGAAGAACATCGAACCGCAGCGCTAGTGAGGCTTCTGGGATACGGATATTACACCGGGCCACACGACCTGGGATCCTCGGTCTTGCTGTCCATGAGTGGATGATTTGGACTGCCCGCACTTTGATGTCTGCTGTGTGACCCGAGAAGCAAGCGAAAGGAGCCCTTCTCCGCATAATCATCCATCTCCCCTCCATCCTCCCACAGCTTGATCGCCAGAGTTACGACCCAATTCCAGAGCCAGCCGCCCGGCCGGAAAAAGCGGCCTACTAAAACCAAGACTTCCCAAATCGAGGCGTGGGGGCACACGACTGCATTGTGTGTCTCATTCGCTCGCCAACTGGGGCTCCCCTATCAGCTGCCAACGCGCTGTTGTCGCCCTCTCGCGACTTTGTTCCCCTTGCTTCAAGCCGACACCACATCTCTGTATACATGCAATCCATCAAACATTATGTTACACAATGCCCGATAAGTCTCCTCCCCTACTCCTCAGGGACAGTGCCAAGCTTTTCTACCTCGAGAGCTTCCAGAAAGTCCTTGATCTCTGCCTCACTACTACTTCGTAATATATCGATGTCTTGCTTTTGCTCCTTTGGCCCCAGAAATGTCGATTCATCAGTTTTCCCATCCAATTATGACGCAGCTTTTTAAAAGCGACTTCACTTACATCTGTGAGCCGGCTAGGCAGCTGCACAACAAAGCGCCCGTTGAGCACCGTGACAGTCTGCAGGGAGTTAGCAGCTGAGGACCAAGGAGCGTGAACACCCCGCCCGCAGCGTACGTCCACGCGGCAGCTCGTCATTGGTGACAGAGGTGCAAACAAACGCATCGAGGTGGAGGGGGTGAATACGCTTACCTTTTGGTCCTCCGGGATCTGAACGTTTTGCGCCTTGAATTCTAGGTTGAGATACCTGGCCAGGTGTGTCCATCTTAGATTCTGAGTTGGAATGGCTATTTCGTAGCGCTTCTTGTACGGTTTTGAGATGGGTCCGTCGTCGTCGTCCCCGAACAATGAAATCTCATCAATGGCGTGGATGCCCATTTTCACGCTCCAGTGGCTGTCGGAGAGCAGAGCAGGGACTTGTTCGTTGGGACGAAATATCCAAAGACGAGATTCAGATGGGGGCCAACTGCGCAGGTGTTCGTATTTTTGAGGTGCAGAAGGTGCGCCCCGCGGCAAGATGCTGCAGCAACAGGTCATCATCTCATAGGCTGTCTTCGCTGGCGTTGACTCTTGGACAGGTGTGACGGCCCGCTTATGGCTGCCTCCGTTTCCTCCAAACAAGGACGCCTGGGTAACAACGGATGAAGCAATTGAGGGTGGGACGGGAACGCGTGAGGATAAGGAGAAGCAAACGACGGGAGACCTTATTTGTTTTCATTAAATTGGGCATCGGTCACAGTCGCCCGACTTTGTTGGTTATTAGTGATAGGTCAGCTAAGGCTCTGATTGCACTGCAAGAGACAAGTTATAATTCAGGTAGTCGCCTTTGTTGGCTTACACTTTTGCCTTCGCGAATTGAAACTGGGGAGACTAGTGGCTCCGTACTGGTAGTCGACAGCCCGGATGTGTTCCGCGGCAGCAGCGAAGCCTACCCAGTAGGTAGACTCTGATGATCACAAATAGGAGCAAACCCCATAGGTTGCCCAAGGTACCTTGAGGATAAGTCACTTGATTACCTATACATGCACCCCAATCTCGCCTCCATCAGGTTGTGTGGGAGGGACGTTTGAAAGTGGTGATCATGAAGACGAGATTGCTTGCATTATTGATGCATGATACAGAAACGAAGTGGATGAAAACGCACTCCACCTCGCTCAACCCACCCTCAACCACCACCGCCCACCGCAAAAGTAGCGATCTCTATTTCGCCTCCTACTGCTACATCGCCTCACGGCAGTCCCACGTCCTTTGCAACCAGATAAACCGACGACCGCATCTAGAGTCGGCCCCATTTGTGCATCAATCATCTGCAAGCTGTTACAAGATCCTGGGAAACGCATGCGCCGAAAGGACGGTGGCAACATATCTTGCGCCGGCCCTTCCTCCCAGGGACCAACAAATTGGTCGCAGAGCGCGAAAGCCATCTACTTCGGAGTGAAATATGGGCCGGGGTAATCGTAATCGATGTTGGTCAGGGGTTCGCTGGACAATTGGGAGAAAGACAGCAAAAAATGACCTGAGCGTGCGTTCTGCACCTGCGGCGCGTTTGCACCCCGCATGTGGCGCCTCTCCCACCAACTTCGACGTCAACCTATTTATTTAACCTCTTTAAAACTCCCTCCGTCGATCATGTCTTCCCACATCCACCGCTCTTCCCATTCATTCGCCATGATCCCACAAGAAGAAGACGAAAACAAAGCCGCCACCACCACCACCTCGCGCAATCCCCAACCCTCCACCTCTGCTCCACGCCCATGGCTCTCCCGCGTCCACTACCCCGGCACGGCCCTCTTCAACCTCCTCGCCTTCACCCTCCCGGCCGTGGTCGGCACCCTTTCAAAACTCTGGATCGCATCCATCGACGCGTCCCTCGTCTCAACAACCGACGTTTACACCTATATTGGCGTCGTCGCCGAGGTCCTCAACGAAGGCCTGCCGCGCGCGGCATGGTCCGTCATCAGCGATAAGTCCTCAAGGACTCTATCCCAGCGGCTCGCGCTGACGCATACGCTTATTTTTGTTCAGTCCCTGTTGGGGCTGGTCATGAGTGTGGCATTCGTTGCTGGGGCGGACGCGTTTGCCAGGAGTTTCGTACCGGGGGAGGTTAGGAATGTGAGTGTGGTTTATGTTAGGATCAGCGCGTTTTCGGCTTTGAGCTCGGCGGTTGAGACGGCCGTGGCGGCCGCGACGAGGGCTTTGGATCAGCCTGACGTGCCGCTTGTTATTGGGAGCGTCAAGGCCGTTGTGCAGATCGTGCTCGAGATGTTGTTGCTTTCGAGGTTTCATGTCGGCGGACATCAGCCAACTATTACCCTGCAGGCCTGGATTCAGCTGGCGTGTAATATGACTGCGGCAATAATTGGGCTGGCGTATTTCCTTTGGGGGACGAGTTGGAGGCAGTATCGTCGTCAAGCGGAGGATGGTGGTGGCGATGGCAGCAGTAAAACGACGCCCAGCTTGCGGTGTCTGGCTGTCCTCTTGCATCCGGGGCTTCTCACGCTCTCCGAATCGGCTCTCCGAAATACGCTCTACCTATGGCTGGTTAGCAACATCGTCTCGATGGGCAGCACGTATGCCACGGCTTGGGGCGTCTTCAACACAATCCGCTGGGGTCTGATCATGGTACCTGTACAGGCGTTCGAGGCCACGGCGCTGGCCTTTGTCGGCCATCGATGGGGCGCCTGGCGCCGCGAGATCGGGACAAGCACGCTCAAGCCTGGACGCACCGCTCTCAAGACCGTCGTGGGCATCATCAAGCCGGCGCTGGTTTCTCTGACCCTGGCCCTGCTCGTTGAGATTCCACTGGCAATATACCTATCCCTTTGGGGCGCTAGGTCCTTCGCCAGATACCTGGGCGGGTCGGACGAGGTGGCCGACGTGACGGCCTACATGTGGCGGACGATCGACTGGTGCTACATCTTTTATGCCGCGTCGACGCAGCTGGCCACGGTGCTGCTGGCCACGAGGCCAAAGTGGTATTTGTACCAGAGCATGGCGAGCAATCTGCTGTATGTGCTGCCGTGGGCGATTGTGTGCCAGGTCCGGGAGCTGGATACCGGCAATGCGTGGACCTACCACAGTCTGGTGTTTGGCGGGAGTTTGGTGTTCAGTTTGGTCGACGTTCTTGTTGTTGATGCTGTGTGGGTGTGGAATCTGGTGACAGGGAGGGCGCGGCTGGAGGTCTTTAGGGAGTGAGAAAGGCTGCCACCATTTTGTGATCTGGGATCTACGAAGAGCAAATTATTGTCTCCAAGTTCAGCTGTCAGTATTTGTGTACCCTTATGTCAGCTAATAACTAATAGTACTAGTACTAATTCATGGTCATCTCCTCGCAAAACTCCCTGAACTCCCCCACCGTCCCCTCCAACCTTGGCGGCCTCAAGCAGATCATTTCCAGCTAATTACCATGCACGATATGGGTTTTTCACCCGGCCCACGGGCGCGGTTTTCCTGTATAGTAAGTTGTTGAAGGTCCGGCACGCCCTAGGGCACAGCGGTGTAGGAATAATAATAATTACCATGCAGCCTCTGTGCAGCTCCAACAGTAGCCTTGCCTGTCTTTCCGCTCTGAGGCAAGAAATGGATACCGACAGCGGTGGTAACAACCATGAGAGTTCAGCGATCCCCAAGCTCGCCCGTCAGCCCGGCACCCTGGAGTTCCAAGCTGAAGAAGTGCGTAACTGAAAGGACTTGGTTACATGCAAGTATAACGACAACGTCAGAGTCGCTGTCTGATTGATCTGCGGCGGTAAGTCGGTGCAGAGTGTACCGAGTCTTGATTATATGGCCGCCTTCCTGTTTTGCCTCTCCTGGTGCGGGTGTGACTTTCCGCCACTCAAAACTGTCCCTTTCCATTCTCTCCACTCCCACATCGATTATAAACCCGAAGAGAGCTCCATGCTTCTTACTCGTCCCCGCCCGCAGCACCTCTTCTATCATCTCACGGGTGTTCTTCGCCATATCGGCTAGTGGGAGTTTCGCAAGTCTCGTGTTGTCATACAGCGAGACGAGAAGTGGGATCGGAAATCTTCGCCAATAGCCGCGAGGATTGGTCCTTGAGCGACGTTCCGTTGCGGAGGTAGTATCCGCGGCCAAAGTTGAGTGGATCGCGAGGCGTGTAGCCGAAATGGCATTCGACCAAGTAGAGGAAGTTACTCTCGGTTGGGCCGCAGAGCTTGTGGCTCTTCATGGCGCTCAGACCCAGAGCGCCGGAATAGTTGGCGTAGAGATTCATCACCGGGGCGTAATGCGCGGTATCCGACGAAGGTGGCAGTGGGCGGTGCCCTGAGGGGAGCTGTTCGGGTTTCATGGCCGTCCTTCCTCGTGTCAGACATGGCAACAGTGGGCGTTGTTTTTGGGCAGTACAACTTCAGCCGTAAAGATATTGGATTACTCCGTGAAAAGAAAGACAACCGACACGACGAGAAACTGGAATCTTATGGTTACATGGAATTCAGGTGACTGGAGAGCAACACGTGAGCAGGAAACCGCGCAGGATGTTGGACTCATGAGACTTGGGGGAGGGGATTGGCTAGGTTGCCGGGGCTCGTATGCAGTTGGTAGTTTGCGCTCTTTATCCAACGCTTCAGCCAATAGACTTAGGTATCTCGTACAAGTACATTGACGGTTTATTTACATGTAACTCTGGCTCGTGCCGCCCCGGTTACATGTGTACCATGAACCGGAGCCGGGTGACAGCACCCAAGTTGTACGTGGCGCAGGACTTTAACACCGGCCGAGATTGGCTGGGACGGTGTTAGCGAATCTGTCAGAGTGAGGGAAAAAACCACGACAGTATAAACATACCGAGAGTGCAGCCGCTGTCGGTGTAGTGGCCGTTGACGTAGCAGCCTTGCCCACCCTGGTACAAGTAGTCCCAGCCGCTGCAAAAAGGAGAAATGGTCAGCATCACCGAGTTTTTACGTAGTGGGTGAGCAGGTAATCGGCATCTGGGTAAACTGACCAGTTGACGGCCCCGTTGATGGTGACGCACTCGCCCGTCTTGACGCAGCTAAAGACGAACCGGTCGCCTTTGTCAAAGGTATACACCACCTTTGAGCTGGTACTGGCTCCGGCGCGACACTTGACGTTGTTGGCGCCCACAATAGTGCAACCCCGGGATTCGCGCTGGGAAAGGCCAGGGGCAGGTTCGTTTGTCGAGACATCGGCGGGCTCGCGGGCCTCAATGTCGGCAACCCCGTCCTCGGCAACGGGGGCGGCAAGAAGACCCATGGGGAGAAAGGCGGCCGTGAGCAGAGAGATGAGCTTCATGTTGACGCTGGGTAGATGTGAACCTGGTGAGTAAAAAGGGGATGGGCAGAAAGTTGAGGCGGCCGGTTTCTGTCTCCTTTCATGTCTGTCCTCTGAGTCCCCTTATACCACACTGTCCCTGCGTTCACATGTGGTATGCAAACCGGTAAGACGGCGCAATTGTTGTAGCGAAAGTTACTTATACCCAATTGAAGCATTCGCTAACGTCGCATCAATATCCACTTCGCCTAAGTCTCACTGCGATAGGGCTACCACCTCGAATCCTTCTTCGGAGCTATTGTGGGGATGATTACGAGGTGAGAGCGGGCTTGGTCAATAAGCATGTGAGAACGAAAAGAAGTTGATGGTCACCATCTGAAATCTTCCGTATCACCTAGGCTTCATCGGCGACTAGGGCCTCAGCGGTGAACGACCGTCGGCAACAACAACTAGAGCCGTTAAAGCTGCCTGGCATGGATCACTGTTAGGATAGTAATAGTCATAGAGTCAAAAGTGTTATAGCTCGATAGCATGATAGATCATATGAAGCTGCTTGTCTAGACATTATGGCATTTGATCCCAGCCAACAGTCCAAGGACGCTCCGCGTCCAGAAACCATACCAGCTATTCAAGTCGTCAAGACTTAAGGTAGATTCGAGCGTCTCTTGACTCTGATTAACTACGATATCATAATACGGTAGAGAAATACAACGCAAATCAGCCCAAATTCCCGTAGGACAGGACATAATATACAGTAATTCACAGAGCTCACACTTATCCGGCGGAACAGATAAGATATTGCCATCATCTCGACGAATCGAGAATTACTGTACCTAAGTACTTCGTACCGTTCGCATAGCGACGCAATGGGGTCGAAGGCCGGAAAAAGAAGATCGGCTCTCGCAACACACTTTACTTCCCGTGGGCAGTCTTAGGATACAGTGAAGCACATATGCTGGATTGTGCATTTTTTTGAGGTATGTTAGTGCCTCTCTATAGCTTGATTTCATCCGCCAGGAAGTTTCGGAGGCTAAATCTGTTTTGCAGGCTCGGTTGGCTTCGGCGTTACCTCCAACAGGAGTTCATCTCCGTGGGGGTGGGCACGCTTTGTTGTGAACTCTTCGTCCGGTACTTCCTCAACGGTAACTTTTCGATAGGGCGCCGTGGGCGTCCTAGGGTTGTTCCGTCTGGCTCGTCCTTGGTGGTAGCTTTACGGAAGGGGATTGCGGGCATCGTGGTGCGTTTGGGAGGTTCCGCATGGGGCGCTTCACAGTCCTTGGAGGAGAGGTTCCGTGGTAGGCAGTGACGCCGGCAGTGAGGTGAGTTAAATACCAGACGCATCTTCGACCAAAGGCACATCGGATCGTGGCGTTTCAGCCACGGTATGCCGAGGATGACCGGGTTGGCTTTGCCCAGGTTAGTGACGTACACAGGCATGATTCCGACGTGATTGCCGATGTGGATCCGGGTGGTGAAGTATTCCGAGACGGTGGACTTTGTGATGCCGTCGGCCAGTTGGAGGGGCCTCGGGCGCAGGAGACGTTTCGTAGCCAGGTTGAACTTTTTCACGACAGTACCCCTAATCAACAAGACTAATTCCTGTTCTCTGTATTGTCGTAACTCTGTGGTAAAGCGCACTATCGAGCAGTTAGAATTTGACTGGAGGCCTCACGCCTTGCCCGTAGGGCTCGCTCGTGGGCTCCTGGGCCTCGTACGCAAGCTCACACGCTCAACGTACCTTATTAATGCGGCTGTGTTAAAACTGATGACTTGCGATATCAAAGCTATCTTAGATATCGAGTACCAGTACCAGTGCTGTGGAATGTTAACTGCGTAGCTGCCCGGCCCAAACCAAGAGAAAGCTGTGAAGGAAGACGGTGATATATAGGAAGCAGTGGCAAGCTCGGGAAGAGGGTACCTTACTTGGCAGCGCTGGACGCGATGCTGTCGCTGGATGGCCGAAAGCTGGTTATCTCCAGCATGCCTGTATCTGCATGCGTGACGTCGATTTCGGCCGTTCAGCTGTATATGTCTCGGAACACCATATGAAATGGGTACCTTACCTTGATCAAGTCAGTGTTTGATTGCTAGAACAAGGGTTTCCAGGCGGTATCTCCGAGTTGCCAACCCGACTTAGCCACGGCGGTTACGGTGACACCAAGGCCCGGGTTGACTAGTACAACCAAAGTAGTTTGATCCTTTCCAATGCTGGGTTGAGATAGATGATGATGCTGACGCGTGCTGAGCTTGGCTGAATGGCTCATAGCCGGAGTTTAGCTCGTGTCCGTTGTTGCCTACAAGGACGTCTCAGAAGTAGCCTCTCATTGGTCACGGCCTTAAAAGTCAATGGTTTTTCGTGAACATCTCGTTGTTGCCCGGTCTACATAGATCCGATGCCTAACTCAACAGTTCGCTGCTCGCTTCCACACGGTCACCGTGCACCATTAGAAACTCCTCAGTCCTCAGCATAATCACTTCACGTCCCACCCTCCTCCTCATCCCTCTTGGCATCGGCACAATAAAGCTCTTCGCATCTAGTCTTGTTTCAGCTCATCTCCTTGTCGGAGCGGTCTCGGCTCAGGCTTCGACCAGTGAGACTTCTTGTGGAACGCATATCCTCGGTGCGCTAGCACCTACAGACCGCTCTAGCTCTGGCTCCCACGCGCCGTCTCTGATCGACCCGGGAACCCGATTATGAATCGAGCCGTCCTTCCCAATCATGGTTTCCCAGGCCTTCACCGGAACTGGAATCCTCCCATCGACAGCGCGAAGAATCCTACATTGGCACTGGTCGGCTCATGGGCCGCAAGGCACTGATCACGGGACGAGACTCTGGCATCTGCCGAGCAGTCGCCATCGCCTACGCTCGCGAAGGCGCCGATGTTAGCATCAAACTACCTGCCGAAGGGTAGCCCGACGCCGATGAGGTGCAAGCCTTGTTTGAGGCTGAGTGAGTTCGCTGCTCGCCATGCCAGGCAATCTTCGCAATGAAACCTATTGCACAAGCCTCGTTCACCGTGCTCTCGAAGCCATGGGCGGACTCGACATGCTGGTCAGCAACGCTGGATATTTTGTGCACCATTTCGACATCTCAACTCTCACAACGGAGCAGATTCTGCACACGTTGGAAGTCAACGTCTTTGCATCCTTCTACCTGGTTCGGGCCGTGGCGCCCCTTCTGCCACCCGGCTCATCCATCATCTTCGCGTCCTCGTGCATGGCAAGTCGGCCTCACGCCGAGGCCGGAAGTTTATCGCTCTTTTGGATTATGACCCCATTTGTTCGCGAATTGGAAACTCGAACAGGAAGTCAGGTAGCCAACTTCGGGAATGAATAACATAGCCAGGGAAGCAATTGGAAAGAAGCAGCGCTTCAGTCATTTATTTACCCTCCCTATTATTAGTACTCTGAAATAGAAACATTAAACTCGGGGCACCAAATGTAGACCCCTTATCGAGTTAGACTGGGTCCATAGCAAAAAGAGATATCGAGAACCTGACGAGCTGGACCATCGAGTCCAGTCCGACGCTCAGCCCCAAGCCAACTACGCCAGAACCGTCCACGCTTCTCTTCCATTCACGTTACCTTAGGTTCATCCCACCCCGACGAATCTCTCGCTGATGGTCCCCTTCAGTGCTGAAACAGCTCCGGCTCCAACGGTTATGGAAGCATTGCCGGCTTCAAGGACGGTCAAACGTACGCTCTGAATGCGTACCAAAACCACCTCTGCCGCAAGATTAACTACTGCATTTAACGTGTGGGCGGGCGCTTGGAACTTCATGCCTGTGAAAGAATAAACGTCCGTTAATGTAACTAAAGAATGGTCATGCGGTGTCGTTGCATTTCAAAAAATGATGTTCTAGTTCATCGAGCTCACATCAGGCTCACACTGCCGCCGCAAAACGTTTTGATCGTACTATATCATCTTCTGTTAAAGGACCTCTGGCATCTTGGGAACTGAATACTTGTATATTTAGACAAGGGCAATGGATGAGGTACTGGTGGCATAGCTTAGTCACGGTGGTCATGTCGAGGGTAGTTGTACAAGCACGTCCTGCCAGGTAACGTTATGCCCTTCTTACCGTCTTACGTTCACAAGCATTCTTTTTATATCACTTGGCGTTGGAACAAGCGTTGGTATACGTGACGGAAACATCCGTATATGCACTTTGATACAAGGCAGCTCCCAGGTCTCAGGCTGACTATCGTCTTGTTGCGAAACGACCGGCGAGGCAACAATCATGCCCGCGTACAAGTTCCAACCCTGTACTTAGGTGTACCATGAAACCACAAGCGCAGGGTAGCCACTGTAGAGAGGCTGGAAACCCCTGACTTAGGTCCATTCCTACGGCTGCATTCGGGACAAGGGATATCAGTCGGAGTGCATGGCATGGTCGCGTTGTGGGCGAGAGAACACAGTGCTCTTGAACTTTTTGTGCATCAATATTGAACGGGACGCTTGAAGCCTGGGTCAACTGGGCTAGGTCAGTCAAGCTTCAAAAGGTTCGGCCCGGAAAACGAAAGACAGACATAGGCTAACGATACCTGCAAACCGTGATGGAAGGGTCTTCGGCCTGCTCGCCGAGAGTGAGATGCAATGTTGATAGTGGAGAGTTCTCAAAAACAAGATAAATGGAGATACGATGAGGATGATGGTAATGATGACAAAGAAGAGGAACAGAATTGGACCTTGAAGGCAGTATAACGATGGATTTATAGTCAGTTATCCGACGCCACTCTGGACCTCCAGGAAAGCGTCTGGGTCGCTGATTGGCAGTCCTCTCAATGGCTTCGGAGCCTTCGGTTGCCCATACAGTCTAGAATGATTGATTCCCCAGTTGAGCCTGGCAGCATCAGGTGCTTGGTAGTCGTACAGCAGAACTGTCTGTCTACTAACTGCCTACCAAAAATGCCCATGCAGTTCAAGTTGAGGTGGGCGCAGTTACAGGCCCAGCACAACCAAGAGGGGCTTTGAGGGTCGCATGATACATCCCATGTCTGTCAAACACAAGGTTAGGTTGCAGTTGGATGGCAAATACATTCCGCCGACTTGTCTCCCATCCTTACACCTCACGCATCGGTCCGCAGCTCAACACAGGCGTATTTAAGTTCGCCGCAATGGGACATTATTGGCAACTTCCCGTGTGACATGTCGGACCAGGATGTGACGGCACCTGCCGTCGAGGTGCACGCTTGCCGTGCTCGCGCTTGCCATCCTCACGCGTGCCACACCTGCCCTGGCATTTAATCTCTGCATCGCGAGAGCTCTTCAAGCTTCTCTTCCTTTTCTCCCCATCTTGTGATTGGCAGAATTGAGTCAGCAATTTGCAGTGCCTACGTGCCTCGCCTCGATGTTACTCGTCTCTCACACAGGACATGGGATGCGACTTAGAGTCTGAAGCAATGTAGGATACATTGTCGATCACCAAGCACTTCCTAGTCTTGCAAGAGAGGCGCGCGAAAGGAGCATATATAGGCGCATTATCATCCTTTACCTCCAAACTGCTGATTGGTAATTCTGAGCACCCACTTGCCAGCGACTTCACGGGCTGAATTCCGCCCGCTCTCCAGACTCTTTGCTCTTTAAGCTCTTTGCTCTCCTATTTATCTTTGTTCCTGAGTCACCTCGGTGTATCTCTCACCGTTGGCTGCCCGAGATGCGCTTCATTATCTTGTAGCTCCTAGCAGCATACCTTCTCCCGGCTGGCCAGGTCAGAGCTAACGTGAAGGTTATCTTTGCTCATTTCATAGTGGGCATCACCGGCTTATATACGTACTGGGAAGACGACGTTAGCAAGGCCGTAACTGCCTACATTGATGGCTCTATCCTCAACATAGCCGCCGGGGAAGTTGCAAATGGGGCCATCTTCGCTAACGCTTTTACCGCAGCCAACAACCTCGGTTCAAACTTCAAGCTACTTGTTGGAAGATCAACAGCCACGATTCCACGGTGTTACACCGACGAGAGGTCACGACAGTGGGTTGGGTGCTCCAGAGTCCCAAGAAGTGAATTTTATTGAAGGTCCTTTTTCCTCCCTCATCTCCAGCGGTGGGCATCGCCCTGATCCTGTTAAGTAGTTTGTTCCCAGCCCCTATTGCTTCTCAGCAGTAGAGCATCGGCAACCTTGCTTCCGAATTTCAAGTTCCATGACTTCCAGCAACAGGCGTTTCAGGGTATCGCGATTTTCCAACACAACCCCCCAGTTAAGCCCGCGAGGGGACGAGTTTGATACTAATCTCTCGGATTATGCGGTTTATATTTGGCTGCTTGCGAAAGTATAGGAGGTTCCGCTTCGGTGGTGGATATGATGGCGGTATCTTATTTGTTGGTACAGTAACTTATCTCTTTCTATTGAGCATAATCGTGGTATTATAACGTTAGCTTCTAATAAATCTATTTCACGGTATAAAAGAAAATCGTTCAACTAAATTAAATGCCATGGGTTTTTCACCCGGCCCACGAGGGCGCGGTTTTCCTGTATAATAAGTTGTTGAAGGTCCGGCAAGCCCAAGGGCACAGCGGTGTAGGAATAATATAAATTAAATGCCAGTTGGCAAGTTAGGGCACGAAAATATCCGGGTTATCGGGAAACGACAGGAGGCAATACCATAAGTCCAGGCTAACATGGAGCTCGGCATACAAAGAGACAGGGTCATCGATCCTAACGCGTTTTCTCAGATCCCACATCTCATCCTCCTCTACCTCTCGCCCATCCTCGCAAAACCGATATATACCCTCTCGATCCCTCTTGATTTCCCATAAAACCACATTGCCCGGCATCACCACCGTGCAAAAGTACCCGCTCTTTTCCTTCGCCTTCGCATCGTCTACCACGCTCTCCAAGCTCTCCTCGTCGACGTGTAAAAAGAACTCATGCCTCGGCGTGCCGCCTATTATCGACGTAAATGCGCTGCCCGCCAGCTCCTCGCCGCCTGGGCCCCGCTGTACCAAATCGATGAACCGACGGCTCGTCTCGGCGATATCGGCGCCGTCAAGCCCGGCCGCGTCCTCGAAGACGGTCCAGCGCATGCGCGAGTAAACGTCTATCAGCCCGGCCTGCTCAAAGCACTCGCGGGCGTGCCCCTGGACAAGGGCGAGGAACTTTTTCCCACTTCTCCTGCGAGCGGTAGGAACAGCGGAATAGGACGAAGCCCCAGCAGAAGAGTCTGTATAGATCGAGGGCATCCTTGATGGTGTGGGCGCCGCCGAGTGGGTTATAGGCCAGATCGCGCAAGTGCTCGGGAAAAGCTTGGTGATGGAGATCCAGAGACAACAGAAGATGGTGATCATCAATGGTGGTGGTTCATCCAGTGGTGATGCTGGATGTGTGATGGCTCTGGTGGGCAGGGCTGTAACCCCTGCACCAGATGTGGGGCAACCCGGTCTGCCAAGGATGTGGGGCACCACCCACAACACTTGGTGAGCTGTTTTGGCCTCCGCGTTTTGTATGGCGGCGGCCGGCAACGGAGCTGGGGGTTCGGGGTCCGGCTTTGTTGAGAAGAAGGCGGGAGATTGCGCTTGGAGAGGAGAGGGTTGCCGTTGGATAAATGTGTTGGCACGGGGAAGAAAGCGACGAATTGGATGTCCTCGCGCTAGGACCGTACGCGGTGATCTCAAAGCCATCATATCATGTATTAATAATGGCTCGGGTGACGCGTGTCGCTTAAGTTCTGGCCTCGAGTTCACGGGTATTCAGCATACAGCTCTGGCGATCCAGTAGAAATCCAGTGGGTTCAGGTACAGTACTATAGGTAAGCCAACACCCCTCCTTTTTAAGGCCCCCAATACCGCTGCTTCTTGACAACCCCTCCTCCCCCTGTAGAGCACATGATAAGCGAGCAGCGCGGATAAGCGGGGTTACAGTGGTCTCTGGTCGATCGAATGTTAAATGGAATACCATTGATATAACGTCCACCCATATCCTTGATGGTGATTATTAATAACGTTATACTTCATTCAACCCAACTTCGCCTGACCATATTAGCTAAGGTATTCCGCCTTTGTTGAACTTGATACCCACCAGTCTCCCACCATGTCCGACAACCCAATGCAGATAGTGTCGCAAGGTTATGACCACATAGCTGAATCGTACCTCCACTGGGTCGAGAGCCAGCGCTCTCCGCGCGAGCACTACACCGAAAAGCTCCTCTCCCACTGCCCTCCCTCCCCACGCATCCTCGAACTCGGCTGCGGCGCCGGCGTGCCCATCACGCGCATGCTCCTGGACCGCGGCGCTCAGGTGGTAGCCAACGACATCTCGGCCAAGCAACTCGACCTGGCCAGAGCGCGGTGTCCAGAAGCGGCGCTCATTCCCGGCGACATGACCGCCCTGTCTTTTGAACCGGAGAGTTTTGACGGCGTTGTCGCCTTCTTCAGCATCTTCCACCTGCCGCGGGCCGAGCAGAAGGGCATGTTCTCCAAGATTCATTCGTGGCTCAAGCCGGGCGGGATGGTTGTGTTCAATCTGGCGACGGCGGATGAAGAGGAGGTGTACGGGGAGTTCCTGGGCCACGGCATGTTTTGGAGCAGCTTCGGTGCGGAGGAGAGCAAGGCTATGGTGACGGATGTTGGACTCAAGGTGGTTGAGTTTGAGGAGCTCGAGGCTGGGGACGGACAGGTGGATGAGAACGATCCGGATTATGGGGTAAGCTTTATATGGGTTGCTGCAAGGAAGGGACTTGTTCTGTGAGGTGGAATGTGTGGTCAAGTTGTTGCATCAAATACCAAGTACACCTTTAGTTGAACAAGCCCAGAATTTTGATCATGGTACCTATTTGTGGCAGTGCCCCCCATCCCCCTTTCTGAGAGTGATGGCAAACGGTTGTCCGGCGGCAGATTGGGCATCTACTAAAGCGTTTTGACGTTTCATGGGCGGTACCCATCTGCTGCAAAGTACGCCTTCCGATTGCCACACAATCACAGTGATTTCCCGGATGAGCCAGGCAGCATAACTACAGTACCTAGTGGTATTATGCAGCAGCCCTTGTCCGCCCACCAAAATGCTCATGCAAGTGAAAGCGGCGCGATCAGCTCCAGCATAGCCAAGAGGGGCTCAGGGCATGCAGGATAGGTAACCACCCAATATTACAACTTATTAGGTTGTCAACCCGAAAAAAATAAATGGATGGATGTCGAATACATCTCGCCGACTTGCCCCCATTCTGAAACCTCACGTATCGGTCCGCAGCCCTGGATTACAACCACATCCAAGTCCGCCATAGTGCAACATGGAGATAGCTGGCGGAGTTGCTAGCGGTCTCACGGTTGCTGATGTTGCAAAAAAAAAGCTCGCCAAGTTCGCATCAAAGCTCAAAGAAGCCGACGCGGATTTCGAACGGTATTGTACTTCGCTCGAACGACTTCACGGTGTTCGTCAGAATGCCCTCAAGTTTATCCGGTACTAACGGTTGATCATGTTGCGTTTTGGCAGGTGATGTGACTCGCGTCAGGAACGGGCTTGATGCCGTCAGCATTAATCTCAGTAGCACACCATGTGGCCTGATTGACTTCTGCATGTTGACCCTCCGTATCGTCGTCGACGATGCACAGAGACTTCTGGGCCGTTTGGGGAGAAAATGAGCGGTCAAAAACGATGACATGATGACCAAGGTCAGAAAATACTGCCAATCCAAACGTCGCCAGCTTAGAATTGTCCTAGAAGGGGAGAACATTCGAACCCGTATTGAGGACGTGGACGCCGCGGTAAGCTCCCTCCACATGGCCATTGCGACTCTGGTCAAACCGCATGCTGGGTTTAACTCCTAGCATGACACAAATCCTTATGGCTCAACTCTCACTGACCAATTTACAGGCACACTGGACTTCAAACCTAGATTCAGGAGATGAGACAACAGGTGGAGAGACAATTCGACTCCCTGCAACAGCGCCATGAAGAGGTCATCCATATGAAGGTCCCACTACGCGTATACGTTCCCAGCCGACTCGCTCCGCCGGAAGAACATCAACCTCCAGCCCGGCGCTTCCCAAGAGCATCGCCGCAGAATCACTTTACTATCAACGAGCCGAGTGTACGGCCGCACAAGCTCCCTGTTCTACTCCAATCGAGTGACGGATCGAACGTCGAATTGGTCGACCCTATTCTGGGGTTCGAAGTGAGTTCTTAAGAGAGGTGCGAGCCTCCATGCAGCCACACCTTGGCCGAAAATGTCACACGATCCAACAGCCGGAGGCGCGTGCGTCAACGCCATCGGTTTCGTAGCCTGGCCGCATGAAAAGCCCTGCCAATACTGCGAGTGGGATGGCTCGTCGCAAGATGGGGACTTGTGTTCATCAGGGGATGCAGAATGCAGCGACTTCTCCAAGTCGGATGGCTCTGACGCGAGTGAAGAAGTCGTGGAGGAAGAGGGGAGTCAGGCAAATTTCAGGACAGGACATCCTCCCTCCTCCAGTTGGACCCAGGCAACTTCCCCTCGAAGCGAATTCTGGCACCAACTGTCAGTGCACGTTATAAGCCTCGCCTTGCAAGCGGCCGCACAAAGCTGGGCTGCTGGGGCGAACTAGGTCGGAGCCCTGTAATTGGGGTTGGGAGTGGTGATTAGCTTGTGGGTAGCTTATGGAGCTGCCTAAGATGCTTGATGAGACTTGAGTTATAGCCGGTGCAAAACCGTGGTAACGTGTTTGATAAGCGAGCGCCGCGGATAAGCGAGCGCCGCACTTTTACCTACCCTATAACAACTATCCTCAATTGCAACACACCAACACTAGGAACCAACTATAATGACATCAGAAACAGCTGAATCAGACGGTTCTCCAGCCTCCTGGCAAGTGCGTGCGTTATGGCCAGGCTTGCCGCAGACACCACAGCACCGAACCTTCGTGCGACCCCCACCTACACCACTCCCTTCCGGCTGTGTTTCTTGCAATGCCTCCCCGCCCACAGTCTTCTGGTTCAGCAAATCCTGTGCATCTTGTACGGAAAGTGATCCTCCAAGCTGCACACGTGTTTTTTTAGCTCTCCGGCGCTTGCTTAGTGCCTCATTGGCATTGCGGAGCGAAGAGACCTCTGACCGAAGGAGAGCCACCTCGTGCATTACAGCCATTGTACCCTTAGTAAGCTGGTCCACAGCAGCCAACATCGAAGTCGGGGAGCTATTTTGATGATTGGCAATGCGAGTCTTGATGAGCGTTGACTGCGAGTTGGCTTCTCGGGGGTTGTGTGGCGTCTGGAACACCAAAGGTTGTGGGGTGCTGGCTCGCGAGGTCAAGGGTGTTGGCGTACGAAGCCTCACATCCAGCTTGGAAAGCACCCTCTCTGGATCATATGGCACTAGGCCAGCCCCTGCAAAGCCACCCTGTATGTTCTTCTCCGTTATGGAGGCAAAGAAGGCCTCGCGGAAGGCACAGAGGAATTCGAGCTTGCTCACGTGGTTGATATGCGCGCGCATCAAGTCCTCAATCTGGCGACCGTACGCCTGCTTCAGTGGCCCAAAGCAGCCAACATCGAGTGGCTGGAGCTTGTGGGAGGAGTGCGGAGGCATGCAGAGCGTGATGATGTTGTTCTGCCGGCAGTAGAGCTCGAATTCGGTCGAGTGATGGCTTTC